ACTGGCTACTATCAATAAGAAAAGAAAGACCCAGATACTGACCTCTCAGTGGTGGCATGGGTCCAGTCTGAATGGATTCCATTAATAATAACGATTTGTTTTTCCCATCGAACAACCCTTCAATCCAATTAACTATTCCCCCCCCCCCCAGGCTCAACTAATGTGATTTTTTCAGCTAATCTTTTGTTTGCATCCTATAAAAAAAATTCCACCAAAATCTAAGTACACTATGCTCCGTTTCGGTAGTCTAGATAACAAATAATGCCCCCAAAAGAAAGTTAACAGATTAATAAATTAAAGTTTCTCTTACATATAGAGAGACATCATCCAAATCTAACCGCCCTCAGTATTTCTTATTACATCTTATCTTCTATTTCAGTTTGAGCTCATCTATTTTCTTCCCGACATTAGAAATAACATAATTTCTTGAGTTTGTTTATTATGTTTAAATCTAGATTTATTTTACATGGTGGTATCCTATCAAGTTAGTTATTACTAGTTCCAGTCTTCCTCATAAGGTATTTAAAAAATACACAAGTCATATCGTTGTGAGTAGATATCAGTCACAAGTCTCATTAATTCAAGTAAAGTAAGATTAAGGAAAAAACATTAGAATTACTGAACTGAAACTAATTATTTCCTAGCTCCGTGGCTTATGCGTGGGTAGCTTACCCTCTCAACTCTGTCATTGATGTCTTCAGCATGGAGGACGCTATCAGGTATGAAATTGGCTTAAGGCTTTTCTTAAAAAGAACTATCCTAAAATGCGAGTATAGTTAAAATACAAAAAAAAGTTATGTGTGAGGACACTAAACCAAAGTAAAGGTAATGTATATACTACAATCACTAGTTTTGTTCGGTATACTAAAAATACCAAACTAACTCAGTATTAACTGAAACACCAAGTTAACTCACCATATTATTATTAGAAACGCCAGGCTAACACAGTATTGTAGAAACACCACACTAGCTAGAAATACCAGGTCAGATCAGTATGCTATAAACACCAGGCTAGTTTACTATTTAAATAAATAACACAAGGTAATTTCAAACGTACAAAACTTTTTCCTCTCTTCTCACACTTTTAACATCTGCTCACCGGTGCTGGATTTCCTGTTTTAATTCAGGTGCTACGTTCTTTATGGCTAATGTTTCTTTTAACCGTAGTCAATGCCCATTTTCAGCCTTTCCGAAAATTTGGAATTATTCAATTTTTACACTTGCATTCTTCTTTATGTCGGAAAATGTTTAATAATTCTGCATACCTTGACACATTACATTCTTTAACTCGATCACTACGCCTCCTAGCCGTCGACCGTATATACACACTATCACAAACAGAGCACTGATATCTGTGATCGGTCCGCTTTGCACATTCTGTCTTTGAATACAAAATAGTTCCCTATTCTCTATTCTGGTTTAAGTATCACACGTAGTTCAACTTGTGGATAAACATTACAAAGGAAGTTCTTTATATTTTTCTTGATTTTCAAAGCATGTGTTCCAGTAAATGGTAGTGTTATATACATAATCTTTTTTGGCACATTATCTTTCTCTTCCTTAGGGGTGGCCCCTTTGTTGATGTACTCGTTGATAACTCGTGTTAAAACTTTTATTGGGAAGTCATTCAAACATTAGTAATTTTTTATGTTTTTCACTTCATATTTAAACAGTTCGACATTACTACATAGTTTATGAGCTCGATATACGAGAATTCTAATTATATTCTCTTTGAAGTTATTAGGTATAAAACTATTATAGTTGAAGTACAACCCCGAAAATGTACGTTTATGATTTAACTGTGATTTGAAATTCATATTTTTTTTTCTTAACTAGAGTGTCTATACTAGAAACACCAGACTAGCTAAGTGTACAAGAAAAACCAGGTTAACTTAGTGGAGTAGAAACAATTGGCTAGTTCGGTATTGAAGAAACACCTACAAATGTTACACTAATTCCATATACTAGAAACACTAGGCTAGCTCAGTGCCAGGCTAGGTCAGCGTCAGGCTAGGTTGGTGAACTAGAAACACTAGGCTAGGTCAGCATCAGGCTAGGTTGGTGAACTAGAAACACTAGGCTAGGTCAGCGTCAGGCTAGGTTGGTGAACTAGAAACACTAAGCTAGCTCAGTGCCAGGCTAGGTTGGTGAACTAGCAACACTAGGCTAGGTCAGCATCAGGCTAGGTTGGTGAACTAGAAACACTAAGCTAGCTCAGCATCAGGCTAGGTTGGTGAACTAGAAACACCAGACTACCTCAGTGTTATGTTAGCTAAGTATACTAGCAAAAGCAGAGT